AAAATAAAAACATAAATATTTTATAAATTTAGTTACGCATAAATTTATTGTCGAACGAATGTCGTGACAATCTACGAAAGAGTCGAGAGTCAAATCTTCAAATTTTGTAAGATGTATTTTTTTTTCAAATTTGAGATTTCAATTTTTCTGATAAATCTGCAATCGACTTCCTTTTACGAACACAAAATACTTCATTTGCTCGTAATAAATCTGTATTATTCAAATATTCAAGTCAACCTGTGAGGCAATTTAATTCAATAACTTTATTGAATCAAATCTCTAATCTCGACTTTACAAGTAGGTGGTTTCTTTTTAATTAAAAGTTCCGTCAAGGCACTCACCACCTATAAAATAATATTTACAAAATTATTATATAGGCTATACCTAAAGAGTGTTACGAATTTACAACGATTCGTTCAATAAAATAGATTTGTAAATTATAGTCTACACACTCAATTATAAATAATATTTTTATCACTTATTAAAGTCACACAGAATATATTAAACGAACTTACTCGAATGAAGAAGTTTTTCTTAACATAAAAGAATCCGCCAATGCTTATTCCAAATGAAGTTTTACCGTATCTTTTCATAAAGTTCAGCATCTTAAAATGCAAATAAAAAACTTTTAATAAATATTAAATTTATAGACCAAAAGAAAAATAATTTGAACGCATTTGTATTACCTTCATTTTGGTTTCTAGCGGTAAATCAGCAGAACACAATTTATTGATTTCGATGAATTTTCCATACAGCTTCACAAATAAAAATAATTATCATAAACAAAAATTGTAAAATTGGTATATAAATTCTCATCAATTACATTGTAATTGTTGAATCAATTTAAATATTATATTATATCACTCTTCTATTAGGAATGTTTTGAATATACTCACAAAGTTTAAATAGAAAGAAATGAGCAATACATGTTATTTTTTACATGATTTCGATTTAACACTATTACGAAAAGAAACTTAATTTTTATTTTATGCGATTTGTTTTTATTTAGCACCATCGATCCAATTTTAAAATATTTTTTTCGTATTTCTTCCCATTTTTTCACATTTAGGTTTTGTTTTTAATGACACGTGGTTACTAAATGACAAAAACGACATATATGGTCACTAAATCACATTAATGTCATAAATGACACTTATGGTTATGAAATGACATAAATGGCACATATAATCACTAAATGACATAAATGACACTTATCGTTACTAAATGACACATATGGTCACTAAATGACATAAATGACATATGTGCTTACTAAATGACATGAATGACATATATGGTCACTAAATGTCACAAATGACACTTATGGTCACCAAATGACATAAATTACACATGTGGTTACATAATGACATAAATGACATATATGGTCACTAAATGACATTTTAATGACACATGGTCTCCAAATGACATAAATTACATTTATGGTCACTGAATGTCACAAATGACGCCTATGGTTACTAAATGACATAAATGACACATGTGGTCACTAAATTACATAAATGACATATATGGTCTTTTAGTGACATAAATGATTTGAATTTCGGTATTTTTACCGACTTTTTTGATTAATATATTGCCTTTTTTAAGCCCCCAATTAAATAATTTTTAAAATTTCAAATTAAACCCTAAGTTAAAATAAATTGAAAAATTTTGATATCCTCTTTTGTTTAAAGTAAACATTCGTCCATTTCGAAACTAATCCCATATTTTAAGTTTTAAGTTGATAGTTAGCATGGGCCTGGGAACAACTTTGACCCATCTGCGTATTTTTTACCTCACAACAATTGTTCACTTGACCATTTTCCCACGCTGAACTTATTAAAATCCCTTCCTTTCCCTTCTTGGGGGGAGTCGTTCATCGCCGTCACTTCAATACTGTGTCCTACGAATATTGTGTTTGATTAATATAATTTGTCCTATCGATATTGTGTCCTGAAAAAAATTATTATCCTTATCCTACCAACCCGTTGAATATTATAATTTTTTCCTCAAGAATATTTAAAGACATAAAGAGGTATGGAACAAATTTTTGTGAACTCTCTCTCGGTCCTTCGCGTTCAGGGCCGTTCCTAGGGTATCTGCCGCTTGGGTGCGAGAATAATTTTGCCGCCCCTACCCTAACCCAACCCCTTCCATCAAAGTTGTTAAAAATTTACAAATAAAAAAGATTAAGTAAATTTAAGTTAAAAAAATTGTACAAATATACACAGTTTATTTAATAGAATATAATGTTACAACTTATTTGTAATGTAATAAAGAAATAAATACATAATTCATACATACAGGCAAGGATGCTAACATATCTACTATTTCTACTAATAAGTTATACAGTAAAGTTTGCTTTTCTAGCCTTTTTTAATGCAAATGTCTTAACAATGTTAGACACATCTATATTTTCTGACAGCTCTTTTTCAATACTAATAATGGATAAGTCTGAAAGCCTTTCTTGCCCCATTGTGGATCGTAGATAATTTTTTATTATTTTAAGTTTGGAAAAGCTTCTTTCCCCATTAGCTACTGTGACAGGTAATGTTAAGAAAATTCGTATAGAAATTACTAAATTTGGAAATAGATAGATGAGGTTATTTGTGAATAGGTAGTTAATAACATTCAATGCGTTCATTTCAGAGGAAATATAGGGTGCAACATTGTCAATTTCATCATATAAATCTTGAGCTAAAATATCTTTTTGATTTTTACATGGATCACATAAACTATTCTCTAGAGCTTTACATTTTGCAAATCTAATTGATTTATCCATTTGAAGGAAATTATATAGGTTGTTAAGAAAATTAAACAATGTATCATGCTGCTTTATTTGCTCGAACCTTTCTTCCAATTTTGATAATGCGGTGTCCAATATTACAAAGTAAAAATTAATTTTGAATTGGTCAGCCGGGTCTTTAGGTGCCTCGTCTTCACACTCGTAATCAAATAATCGCTTTTTTGTTCGGGGTCTCACAATATTAATAGGAGGAAACGAAGGGTCACAGTCGATATCATCGGCAATTTTTTTGGCCTCTTCTAAAATATCATTAAAACCNTAAGTGCAACGTTGTAACAAATTTCATTTCCGTCCAAGTTAAGAATGATATGACTCATGGAAAACTGCGCGAACGAACATAAACAGTGGCGTAATCGTCCGTTATCGACTGACTCCCGACCGATTTTGAATTTGTAAACTCTCATTGCAATGGACAGCTGACATTGTGCTCTGGAAGAAACAATTTGTATCACTCTTGCTACGGATATAATTTGTAATCTGGAATTTTTTGCATACCTTTTTAATACGTATTTAATTGCGGCTCGCGAAAAATTTCAAATTTTGAAAAATGGCTCGGACTATCAAGAAGCTTGGCCACCCTGGTAATATTAGATAAATAAGTTTTCGTCTGCTCCAAGATTAAAACGACATTAGGTAGTGTAGAATCTGACTCCTGCATCACTTTACTTGCAATATTAATTTTTGTTAACACATTATTCCATGTAATAATAGAACAAATAAATTTAAACGACTTGATTTTTAAGAGTAATGAATTTGCCATATTTCTGGTTTCAGGGTCTCTGCTATTATCAGAATAAAGTGCAAATAAAGCGTCATATATTTTTGCCAAATTGTATCTAAGAACTTTCAAAGCATCTATTCTACTTTCCCATCTAGTACTAGAAAGAGGTTTTAATGATAAAGTTGGGATTTCATCTTTTAAAACTTGCCAACGTTTAGTCGATGCAGAAAAGAAAATGTAAAGTTCCTGCACAATAGCAAAGAAATTTGTAATTTCTAAAGACGCTTTTGCAGCGTCATTAACAACTAAATTTAAGCTACAAGGGCCGCACAAGGCACGTAAAAAGCTCTAGGGTTTAATTCAAGAATTTTTTTTTGTAAACCATTATTGCGACCCTTCATATTCGCACCATTATCGTAACCCTGCCCCCTTAAATCTCCTAAACAAATGTTGTGAGTCTTCAAAAAATCCAATAAAACATTGGTTAAGCCTTGTCCTGTCGAATCTGATATTGTTATGAATTTCAAAAAATGCTCCCTAATTTCTATTTGCTTTGATTTATTATTTAATAAAACAAACCTTACTACAACAGTAAGTTGGTCTTTGTGACTTACATCAGGAGTCGAATCTAAAATAATAGAAAAATATTTACTAGCTTTTAACATAGATATAATTTCATGTCTTATTTTCTCTCCCAGAAGGGAAATTAGTTCGTTTTGAATATGAACACCTAAATAATGAGACATATTTGATGGAGTCCTTCTAATCCTGTTAATATGATCGGATATCGTATCATTAAAGTTTGCAATTGTTTCAATTAATTTTAAAATGTTTCCATTTTGTTGCTCATATATCTTGTTATTTTCATCCCTAAAACTCAAATTTTGACCGGCTAAAAATTTAACAACATAAATTATAATTTTTAAAACAGAAACCCATCTATCTTTTTCCATGTTTATTAATTTCTCATTTAGTGAATCAGTTGTCGTTTTAGAAGAAATTGATTGTTTTAGATCAATCCAAGATTTTGTATTACAAATGTGACCTTTTGATTTTTCATGTCGTTCTATAACCTGACTTAAATGTCTCCAATCATTATAACCCTCAACTAAACCACTAGAAAAAGTTTTAAATATTTTGCAAGGAAAACAATATACACAGTCTTTTGATTTAGAATACACCAGCCAAACTCTTGGAATTATTTCCCCATTACACAGTTTTTTTTTTTAATAAATAGACGAGAAACCTCTATTGTATTTATTTAAAGGAAACGTTATATCAGCTTCTGTCAGTTGGGTAGGCCCTAAGTCTATCAGAGTTAATTTAATTTTATCCAATAAAACACCAGGCCAATAGTTAGGATCCTCATGAACATGAAGATTTTCATTTTCAAAACTTACTTCTTCAGGACTTTGTTCTTTTAATAAAACACCTGCTTCCATTGTAGTTTTGGTATTCGACGAGTCCTCCTTTTTTTCCCCGCTACTGACCACTATGAATTCGGTCTCCGTCACATTTACATCTCGAGCTTGGGAACTTGATGGTGCCTCCTGTGATGTTGTTGAGATTAAAAACGTTTCGAGTGAACCACTAGCCTTTTTAACTAATTCTTCCTTTTCACGCTTTCTTTTTCTGTACTGTGCGCCAGAAAGCCTTTTTCGATTATCAGACATCTACCAAAAAAAAATTGATTTCGAAGATTTAAAGAAGCATAAATTAATTAAGCTTTGTTTTTCGAAAAATACCAACTTTTGAAAGGAAACTTTACAAAATTTTTTATTTTGTCTGAAAATTTCAACATTTTTAATCAAAACAAAAAAATATTAAGATTATGCTAATCTTTAATTAAACTATATTTTACTAATAAAAAAAAGGAAAAATGTTTTACTATTGTTATTATGTTGGTATTATTATTTAAGTTATAAATTTGTTACACAATATAAATTTAATTTAACAAAATATTATTTAAATTTTATTTAACCGCGCAAAAGCAAAATATAATCAAATTAATGTATGTACTCACCTTTAATTTTTACTGTCTCTCTAACCACGATATTAAACAAAAACTTTTTAAGCTGTTGCGATTTACACGATTACACGTTTAAAATTAAAATAAAAGAAATTATCCCGGTGCTTGCATTTCTATGCTTTGACCACAGACGAGTATTTTCCTGTAAAATCTTCCTCGCGACCGACGTGAAAAATAGCTTAAGACGAGTTAAAACAAGAAACTGTTATACTTGCCACTGGTTGTGGCCTGAATAAGTTGTGTATATAAAATTTGAATTTGAAATATAATTAATAATATTTAGAATAGTACATATATTCAAATAATATTAGAATAGTAGTATTTAAATGATAATATTTAGAATAATATTTATGTATTATATTAATTTAATGATAAATTAATTTTTCCCTTTTTTTTAAGGCAGCTCGCGCCGCCCCCTAGGCTTGCCGCCCGGGTGCCCGCACCCTCTTCACCCTCGGGTCTTTGTTTTTCGAAAAATACCAACTTTTGAACTCAGATTTTTCCCTTTGAAATTAGTTATTGTAATCTTTATGTAGCTAATAAATCGTTGTTATCCTGTTAAATTGGTGTCTCCTTTTACTCGTATATTGCCTGTCATCTTACCGACGCACTCCTCCCTCCGCCACTCGACCCGAAACATTTAATCCCGTTACAGCGGGAAAAAGGAAAAGTTAATCCATCCTGACAGTGAGAAGGTTTAACAACCTGTTGCCGGATCGGGAGACCTACACCCTCCCCGGCGGTTCACACTAGTCCAGAAACGACACACGACCCCTTATCTCCCCACCTGTCCACTTTTAATCAGAAACATTTAATAGCATCAATCCCTATAATAAACGAAACTCCCTGAACTACATTAGAAATTTTCGACAAAAAGCAAAGTTTATTAAGCTTAAAACAACTAAATTAACTTCCATAATACAGAAATTACCTCGAAATTCTTTTTTATTACTCGATGTTCCTAAATCAGTTCAAGGTGGATAGCGTTATGAAGCAATTAAAATTAATCTTAAAGACAGAAATTTTTATTAAAGTTTTGTTATACATTAAAATAAAATTGTATAAAAAGAAAATACAATTTCATATAAAGCTGAATTTGAAATATTAAAAGAGTGTTTAATTTATTCAGTTGACCCAATTTTCTAGTATAAAGCGAAATATCGAGCGAAGAATAATAAGAATATTTAGATGGAATATTCTAAATTTTCCAAACGAAATCGGATGTTTTAATGTATTGACATTATACGTTTACTAGTGAAAGCGACTAGTGCAGTTTCGCTCACGTGATTGCTATACATCAAATAATCAATCGTTTACGTAATACCCTATTCAAATCATTTTCTTATTTAAGAAAAGCTGATTTGGTTTATCTGGTTCCAAAACCGTTTCCAAGTCTACAGTGCTTCATACTTTCATTAAATCCTTCATATAAAACATGTATACAGGTTACACTAAACGTAGTTTGTGCGTTGTTTGTTTTCTAAGCCCAATCCTCTCAACGTTAGAGATATTTGGAATGAAAATGGTGTATTGCGATTGTAAGAAGCCTGCCAAAAAATGGAAATATCTGTCAAAGTTATATCCTTTGTACCAAACTGCTATAGAGATATTTATGTGGACTAACATAATACTTTCTACTCAAGAAGTAACAGACAATTTGGTGTGTGTCGGATGGATCCAAATGTCTCCAAACAATAAGATACTCATAAAATTTATTTTAATTACATTTGCTATTTTTCTAGCTTTTCAATTCAGTTTCTTTAAAAGGAAAAAGCTTTACATTCCTAGAAATAACAGTGGATACGAAGGAGAGGAAAAAATTGCTGATGATATTCAAATACTTTTTATAGCTAATCTTACAGTTTACTTCTTTTCAATAATAACATTTGTTACTGTAATTGACTTATTTTTGTATCCTACTTTAAAGGAAATAAGTAATTCCGAGTTTGAACTCGCATTCTGTAATCTGAATATCACATTAATGTGCATTTACGGAATTGGACAATTGCATTGCTGCATACTTGTTATAGGTGCATTGGCGCTCATTTTCGCGAAGAGATTCAAGAATTTATCTGATGCAATCGATGAATTGAAAAAAGACGAAAGTTTTTTAAAGAATAAAATCGAAACCTTAATCGAAACTCATTGGGATTTATGGACTTATATACAAGAAGTAAACCTAGTTTGCGAAATATACACTCCCGCTATATATTGTTGCGGAGTGTATGAGACAAGTTTCTTTTTCTGTGCAGTTGTGTTTTTTAAACTGGATGGTGTAATGTTTCTTGCAATTTCTATTACTTTGATAACTCTGGTAGTCGGAGCTATGATTATATCTTTTCAACTATCTCGTTTCACGTCTTTGGTACGTAAAATTTAAACTTATCGTTTGTTATTCAATAAAAATCTTTAGAAAGTTTTTTGAAAAATAAAATTTATTTTTTTATTAATTAAAATCAAATTTTAATGCTATTCATGAACAACGAATTAAAAAGTTATTTTAATTTATAAGTGGGTTAACGTGACAAAAGAATGAAAAGAAAAAAATGTTTCCAACATAATTTATTAAGAAGAATTCCCTAATTTATTTAAATAGAAAAAATTTTTGAGTATATGTTTTATACGTAAGTTTTTGCAATTTCATAACTGAAGATTGGGATATACAACTCTGTTTTAAATATCAGTGGAATTATTATCTAGAGCTTTGTAAAAAATGGCTGGCGGACATTACAATTTAATAAAGTAAAAATTACAATACAAATACCAGACATATCTGCATTACTCACTATATCCAATCAACCAGGAACAGCTATTCTTCACTGCATAGGTGATCTTTCTTTGTAGGTTTTTACTCGGCAAAATATGTAAAACAGTCTAAAAGATCCACAGGTGATAATCCCAACATAATTAAAAATATAACATTTTTTTGAACATGGCGATCAATGAAGATATGTCTATTATCTATAATATAATTTTTACTTTATTAAATTAAAATTAAAAACATTATCTAGAGCTGTTTGGTTTTAAATAGTTTTTGCAATTTATTCAATAATTTTATTTTTAACTTTACTAATCTTTTTAAATCATTTCTGAAAGACTTGATTCTCCATTTATAAGAACACTTGTTGAAATGGCCAAGATTTCGCAGTCGACAATTCATATCAGCTTTACCGAAGTCTTCAAGCTGCCTTCGAAATTGGGTTAATGGCCATATCTTAGAATAAGAGAGTGATTGCGATATGTTCATACTTGTTTATTGAATACATTTCAACTTAGAACTAGAGATAGGTGAGTATTACGTTATTCGAATGCGAATATAAATTGATGTATTAGCTAGGCTCGAATGCTTACGAGAAATATCAGATGAGAAGCGTCTTGGCATAGTTTTTTTAATCACTTTTATCGGCTTCGGCCGACAATTATCGCCGTTGTAACAGGAATCTGCGTTCGAAGCTAGTTGTAAGTTGTTTCTAACCAATGGAAATGCAATAAAATTTTAAAAAATATGAGGACTACGAAAAATACGACAACGTGGTCCAAATAGTTTGAAGCAATGATGGACATTATGAAAAATTATATTTAAAATAATAAATGATAACGTTTGAAACAATTTTATGGTTCTGGGTTAAGAAGAAGACGGAATTATTTACAAAGCATTCAATAATGATCAGAATACCCAACATTTCATTAATAAGATGAGAAAGTTCTACGAGTAATTGCTGTCTGATAGATGTCATTTATTTCCTATACACTAACGATATAATTTCCTATTTCTTATACGATTCTCAATAAATTAGCAGGTAATTACTCATAAGAAAATGATTTCTTAACGATCAATAATGATAAGAAGAACTCACAAATTTAATTCATATATTTTTTAAACCTAATTTTTAAATATGTTTAACTGAATATCTAGGAACCAAAGTCATCTAACTACGATATTTGTTATTGTTGCTAAGGTAATCAAAAATTGTTATCTGCTTGTATAGTAAAACATTGTTAATTCGGAAGCGCAGAATGGTTAATGGCGAGATACTTTCGGCGTTTGAAAATGGTGTTTTAAAACGCCGAAATAAGTGTTTTAAGCAAAACTGGAGAGTTAATAAATTCTATCGAGAAAAACGCCCAAAGATCTATTAAGAAATTATTTGACGTTAGACAAAAAATCTGCTGTTAAAAATAGTACCGGAAGGCCGCAAAAATTCGCTTCTCGTATAAAACGAGCAACTTTAAGGACGATTATGAATAGAGCAAGCTTTCTCAGAAATATTGCTGCGTAACCCGAATATGGAGTAAGCTTCGTATCAGTTTTGAACGTAGTTTATGCTGCCAATTGAACGAAATCTCGAAAGAAAGTCAAATATGTAATGTTTTCAGACAAGCGCAATGCTGCTAGACTGAAAAGGACCACATATCAAATCACCCGGAATAAAGAGCGGAGGAATATAATACGGTCGGATGAGAAAAAGTTCAATTTAGATGGGCTTGGTGATTGCCATATTATTGACATGACTTAACAAAGGAGAGAAAAATCTACTTTAAACGACAAATAGGTGGAAGTTCCGTAATAGTTTAGTCTGACTTTGGAGAGTAAGAATAGGGAAAATATTGCTTTTTCCGAAAAAAAGGCACATCTTTCGGGAAAGGCAATCGTAAACAAAGGACATTCAGGTTATTAGATTTAAAAAATAACCTCGGAAATATTATTTTTAATTTAATATTAATAATTTAATTATAATATTAAGTATTATTATCATTAATAATAATATTTAGTGAAATCTTATTGACCAATTCAAGAAACATATACAAATACTTAACACCTTATTCTTGCCGAGAAATATAATTTATTTGAACAAACTAACGTTTTCAGCCTGATTCACAGGCCATCTTCAGGTTTAGAATACATTTGAATAAAATTCCATCGATGGAATACAAAATTTAAATTCAAAATTAAATAAGGTACAATTAAAATAAAATATTAAATAACCAACATAAAACAAAAATAAAA